TTTTTGTCTTGAGTTTTGATTATATTGTAGCTTTTAAATTTCCCCAAAAGCTATTAATTTAAAAAATGAAGCGAAAATTGGTTATATATTGCATAAAATCTGACTTAAAAAATTTGTTTAATGTGGGTCTTTTATTTTTTTTATTGCTTAGTTATAAAAAACAAGAACTTTTAGGTTAGTTTAAAACTTCCTGAATTTGTAATATTATAATTTCAAACAGAATTAGGTATTATTCTTTTTTTAATCACTCCTATATTATTAATTTATTGTCATTTCAAAGTGTAGTACTTGAATTCCTCTCTAAATGTAACTTTTTATTATTTATTTGTTTTTTCTTCTCCTGAATTTCAACTGCAGTTGATTCTCCAATAGTCACAATATCACTTAAAAAAAAAATCTGTATGGTTTTCCTTGAAAGAAATTTTTCAGATATTTATGCATTAGAATGTAAATAAATCTGCCATTTTTATGGGATTACCAACTCATTGAACTCAAGTACCTGTCTTTTAGAAAAGCAGAGTTTCACAGCTAAAGTATTTCTTAAAGTGCCTCTGCTATTTTTTTTTAAACTGTACCTTTCTTTGACTATTTAATCATTCTCTTTTTCAACATTCTTTTGTAAATTTAGTTCTATAAATTAGTTATTTAAGTAGATGAATTAAATTTATTAAATATTTTGCTTAATCTCAAAATAATTTACTTGTTTATTCTAAAGATATTGTTATAAAATAAATTATGAATTTTAGTGTTTAATTTTAAAATGCATGATATTGCTCACAACTCACAATAATATGTCAAAGAGCCTTATATGAATATTTTAATAATTTAGCTACTATCTTCAAGACATAGTAAATTATTAATTTTTATATACATTAATTGCATAGTTTAATTTTGCACTCATTTTTACTTAATTTTGAAATAGGAGAGTTTTAAAGTTACATTTTGTCATTTCATCATGTTAATACACATTATTTTCTCATCAATGTCAAGAATACATTTAAAATTATTAGCCTAATTATATGCATAGTATGTATTGCTAATAGGAATTGTTGGTCACGTACTTATTTATTTGTTTTGTGAACATTATAACAAAGGGCTCATAATTTATAATATGGACCAATTAGTAGGAAACCTCATTTAAGGTGGATGCTCATAATACAGCATACTAGTGTTAAAATTCTGACATTTGAAAAGAAAGCTAGTAGATTTGTACATTTTTAATATGTCCATGTGACTGCTCATATATTATATCATAGTATTTTTTGTGCTATTCATGATGAGTAAAATTAAAATGTTTATTTTATGTTTGTGTTTAAATGTTTACTATATGAAGTACTATTTGCATGTTGCAGTTTTATAACTGATGTTTATATTTTTAATGTTAGATAAAACTTACATTGACTTTTAAAATTTATTTATTTTAGGTTTTGTGTGTATTTGTATGTTATTTTAATCTTTAAAAATTTATTTAATTCATTTAAATTCCTCATAATCAATTTTAATTTCAGCTTTATTAGGATTTGAAAATTGACTGAAATCAATTTTCATTCATGATTCTTCATGATTTCATTCATGATTCTTTTTTAACATGAAAGATGAATAGTATGCTGCAAAAATATATTTAATTTCAACAATGCGGTACAACTGTGGTAATTTTGAAAAATACCGTAGGAGTGTACTTATTATTTTTAAATGAGTTTTTATATGTGTATATATATCTTAGCTGTATTCTAGTCTGTTTTCACATCTAAGCATTATAGAATAGTAATTTTTGTTGAAATTTAACTGTTTACTAAGGTGTTTACAAAAACAAATAAAAAAAATAATGGTATAACTTTAAAATGTGTTGTGTAGTAGTTGTAACCAGAATCATTATGTGAATGTTTTGTTTCATTTTGTATATTATGGATGTAGTAAATTTTAAAAATTTAATAAATGGTGATAATCTCTTTTACTTTATGAATCACTATGATTAAATTATTTCTATGTAATTTTACTAAATTTCATTCATTACACTCATTTCCAATATATTAAAAAAAAATTATTTTATTTGACCTCCATATTTCTTGATCTTGAGCGTAGTGAGACATCCTTGACTTTTTGTTTTTCATTAAAAATCTTCTGCATAAAAATGATTTTTACCAGTTGATGTAAGAAATCACACTTTTCGCATGTTAGTTAACTTGCAAGTTAGTTTTTTATTTTAAGTTTTCCGTGTTTTTAAACTTAATTGTATTTTATTTTTGAATTTTATAATTTTGATATCAGTGTGTATGATATCTCACTAACCAAGAAATTGAATGAATGGCTTAAAATTTACTTTTCGTAAGAGAAAAACATTGTAATCTTTTAGAGCATCAAAATCTTATTTTATGCATTTTTAAAAACTTTACAGTGAGTTTGGGGACAGGGCTCTAATATTTGACCGGGCAAAACAATTTGACTAGGGTCCTAGATAAAAGTGGTTTTAATCATTCTAAAGTGATTTCTAATGTCCAAAAATGGTCATATTGGTTAAAGATGATCTCAAATGGTTTTAATTTTATTAATCAATTTTTCACACAAAAAAGTAACTTATTAGTTTTAAACATAAGAATATAGTTTAAACAATAAATTAATTAGTTTATGAGGCTAATTATTAAAATATGTATGTACCATAAGAATGTTAAAAATGGACCATGCAACTGTAAAATATAAACCAGTTGCAGTAAAACCCATAAAACATGAATTCAAATTACATCTCATAAGCTGTTATGCAGACCTTCATCAACAGAAAGATTATTTTCTAAACTTGGAATAATCCAAACTAAATTATGAAATTGTTTACAAGTTGAATGATATCAGCAAAACTTCTTACTTGTTATCGTTTCTTAAAGTCAACTCAAATTATATAAAAGAGTTAGTGTATAAAATAACTTAAACGATTTTGCTGTATCTTGGTGTCATGCTATGGCATTTCTTTACTTGGTATTACGTTTTTGGTGTTACCTGTGTTAGGTTATGACATATTTGACAAATGTTAACTTAGTTTAATATGTGCTAATGAAATGTATTTAGTTAGTTTTTTTAAAAATTAAATAGTTCATTTTAGTGGTATTGGTTAAAATCACTTCTTAAAATCCCTATGGTTAAAATCGATACAACCCTATTTGAAAAAGTTACAGTGACTAGATTAGAAATGTGGTAACATGCAGTTTACACAAATCTTCAAACTTCAATCACATTTTCAAATAATTAGATATATATTTCATCCTCATCCCATTGATATCAAACTACTATCTGATTTCTAATTTGTTTTAATGAGATGTTTAAATTATTTTTATTTAAATTATTATGTTTAAATTATTTTTTGAAAGTTTTTTTTTTAAATATCTATTATTTAAAATTTTTATAAGTAAAATATTTTTTCTTCTTTCGCATAAAAATTTAACTAATGAAGTTTAGAAAAAGTTCTTAATAATCATAAATGAAAAAATTCTTAATCACTGAAGGTTAGAGGTAACTTATTATTAGATAAACAAAATTAAGAAATATACTGTAGGTATCTTCAATCTTAAAACAAAATTGAAATAAATTGAATAGTTTTTGAGATATGAGACAAGGAATGAAAAAATGAAGTTGAAAATGAAAAATGTGTTATTGACTAATAGAAGTTAAATTGGTGTGCTGCATGTTACACTGTTTTGTATTGTTCACTGTTACTCTTTCCTTCAAATATGTTAACCTTAGAAATTTATTTTAACATCGAATTTAACACACAAACATGCAATTTTACATAGTTTCCTCTTGTAATCTCTTAGACCTATCTTTTTAAAAAGATATAAGAAATTGTGTTTAAAAAATTATGCTTGAAGGTCACTATTCTGTCAAAATCTAACTTTTGTTAAATTGTTTCAGTTCATTGCTTAATTGTTTCAGTGAAATTAAGTCGTGATATTAGACTTGCTAATAACCAATTCCATTGCATTCATGAAATTGATTGCATTCATGAGACTTATTGATGAGAGACAATTCTAGGCATTCTGTTTGATATCATGGTTCTTAATTGTAGTTTTTTGAGATTCAACAGTCAATATGTTAAGAAATGGATTCAACTTCAAAAATTCGTTTTTTTTTTTTACAGTTGAAATCAACCTTTTTATGATTGGATTTTATATTATCCCCTAATTAAAATTTCTTTGCTCTTTTCTAAAAGAAACATTCTTTAACTAAAATAATACTTTCTGCACCTGATATAAAAAGATCATCAACTGATTTTATGTTTTAGTACCTAGGTTTTATCAATAATTATTGTAGAACCGTGTGCAAATGGTACTTTTTCAAAAATATATGTAAATTAGTAATGGATTTGTATACTCATATAAGTTGTCTCTCCAAAATTTTGTTTAATCATTATCAAAATTTATGAGAAGTTATGGTTCTTCTTTTCCTTGTGATTTCTTATGTGAAGTGATTAATTAGTCAATTTAAAAGTTATAGGAAAAAATATTTTTGATCAATGAACAAAATCATTCAGTTAATTGGAGGAGAAAAAAAGAAAATTCAAAGTTAGGTTAATATTTTCTTTTAGTATAAATTTTTATAGAAAAATATGAAGGGTGAGAACTTAATTTTATTTTGCTAATAAATTGGTAACACCTTCAAAGTACTTGTTTCTTAATATTTTTTCTTAGTTTCATGATATTTAGGTAGGTTCTTCATCTACGTCACATTAGAGCTGCACAGTGTCATAATATTCAATGGCAGTTTAAATTATGAAATTTTGCCTAGCAAAACATCTGATAAATTTATAAATAAAACGTATAAACACTTTATGAATGCCTACAGGGAATAATTATGCATCAAATAAAAAAGAAACAGTATTTTCTGGTGTGACAAAACTGTTTAAGTGGAGAATTAATTTATGTGAAATGTTTAATTTAATTATATCTACTATTTGTTCATTCTATTGGTCTTGACAGAACAATGATGAATGCAAGATTTAGAAAAAAATTAGCACATTTTGAAGTGTTTCACTATTTAATTAAATTATTACAAAATCATTTTTAATATATTAATAATTTTGATAATTAAACTCTTTTGATGGCTTGAGAAAATCATATTAAAGGGCATATAGCAAATTATTTGTATTTTTAGGCCACATTTTTTTTAAAATATTAGTCTTGAACGATCACTTGCTTAGAACCAACGACTTCTATCAGTTGACGTGAGGAGAAAATGACGGTAATTTTTCTGGGCCCTGGTTTTATGGGGATCAATGTTTCCTCGTGAGACATGTTTCTCTCTGCTTCAACATCCCTGTAACAAGAATTGAAAAATTAATATGAAAGTAACATTTCTTAATATTATGATTAGTATGACATTTGTTTGGAATATACTTTCTGAAAAAATGAATCTTTTTATAAAATCTGAAAGCTCTAAATTCAATATAGTGATGAGTTATATTGAAATTTATATTCTTATTTCCTGCCAAACTTGTTCTTCAGAGTATAGAGCTCTCTATTTTATGGGTACGAATATACAGGGAGTCCAACAAAGGCCGACCTGTTTTTAAAATTAAAAATTTCTGAAACAAAAGACTACGGAGAAATGAAACAAACGGTGTGTGTTGTGAAAACAAAAAAATTTTATCCGGAAATTTGGAGTATAGTTACAAAAGTTACCAGCAGATGGCACTGTACACTGCATAAAATTCTTGAAAAAAGTACCCTTGGCTTGACTAAAAAATCTGTTCAGGATGTCCACTGTTAGTAATCACGCACTTAAGTGAATTAAAGGTAGCAGAGATAAATATTGCTTACCTTTGTCTTGTGCGTGGTCACTCTTGTTCTCCTCACTTTATATTCTTTATTAGTGCTGGAATATCTTGTGTGACTTACTCAATAAATTGAGGCATTATTAATTCAGTAAAAAGTTCGGATTGCCTTTTAAAATGCGAGTTTATTATTAAATAAACATAATTAGTCAATATAAGTGGTTGAGCTAGGGCATTTAACAAGATGGATGATAGTAAAGTGAAACTTATTAAAAGTTATACATTACATAATTAAACATCGCCATTCAGTGGCTAAAATAATAAACAATGAATCATTGAATTGGAGGATTAGTGATGAAATATCTATTTTATAACATCCACTGCTCGCAGTGCAATGGTAACGCAAAACCTCTTATAGAGTGCTAAGGGAAATGAACGCATTTGCCGCTGTCTAGTGTCGTGGGATTATTTCGGTAAACATAAGTTTTTCAATGAACTCCACACTGCATAAGGTCTTTGAAAAAGGTAGGTGTCTTTAGTTTTTGAAAAGTTTTAATAACACACATCGGGGTCTGTTAGAAGGCACTCTTCACCAACCAAACAACTATAAAATGCAAGTTAAGTGTTTTCAAGGGGAAAAAATACTTACGGAATCATAATTCGAAAGGGTGCTGCTAAACCTGGTCCTTCAAGAGTAAGAGCACAGTCTTCAAGTCTTCGTTTGAGAGGATTTGTGAATGAAATTCTGATTCTAAATCGTCTGTGAACTTTGGGGGTTCCTTCAACCTTTGAAATGGCAAAGAATAAATATTTAAATTGGATAAATTTTATATCGATGAAAGGTTACTCAAAAACAAAATATATTATTATAAACTCCTCTGAATCTACAAAAATGGCTTTTATATTACTTTTAGTAATGAATTAAGAGAAGTTCAATACATGCGTTTCCACATACTTATTTTTAATAAAAATATATATATATATATTTTGATCCTCATTCGTGGACTTCTCTCAGACTTCTAGTAATAATTAGATAAACAGAACGCTGGGCCGAGCATTGAACAGGTGGTGTAGCTATGTTAATCACTGTCGTTATCCCCTTTCGTTGATTGTACTAGTTTACTCTTAAAGTACAATCCATTAATTCTCAGCAAGTAAAAGTGGTTTATATATGAAGAAAGTGGCAGTACATGTTTTTTTTTTCATACTAAGTTTATATACTTTTTGTTACCGACCACTTTATTAGTAAACATGCATTGTACTTAAACTTCAGATCAAGATATAAGTATTCACATTATGAATATATTGTGGTAAATAGAACTATAATGCTTCTGCAAAATAAATCCAAATAATAAAGCACTTATGCTACTACTTTTTTCTATTTTTAAGAAAGAGACCGTGAGCTAATTACGTTAACATGGAGATAAGAAGAATTAACAATTGTACGGAGTCCACAATATATTAAACAGTTGTAGCCGTATACTAAATGTATGGATGGTGTTTTCTACACTTGGGTGCACTTCCGGATTACTGTTTCCGGCGTATTTTGAAGCCATTTGGCTCACAATGTGATTATTGTGTTTTGAGACTCTCTTGAGTAGTATTTCTTGTATACGTGTATTTGTTACTTGATTTATTATTTTTATAAGAATCCTAATTTGAAGACCTGTCATTTCAAGACCGAAGAATCGTCATCTGAAAAAAGGAATATAAAACACTACTTACCTTGTCAACAATATACCAACTTCGAAATTTAAACCTAAATGACAATTTGCAAAATGAACTTAATCTCGCTGCTTGAACACTATGCTAACAATCACGTATGATGGTGCACGGCTTGCAAAAAGAACAAACAGTAATAAACAAGTTAAAGAGGTCAAATCTGGACTGGCAAAAAACCGATTTCTTTCTAAATCTAGCAACCATGTCACCATTTCTCAACAATACATCTATAAATAACTAAAACAAATTTTCACTTCTAACTCACCAGAACTACTTAATATCATAAATATCTTGTGAAATATACCAGATTTGAACTCAAAAATTATAAAACTTATTTCTTTTATTACAAACAAAATTATCTGTTTGAAAATATCGCCTCGCAGAATAAATTGTAGCAAGTAGCTGAATATTTTCTTACCGGAAGTAAAGCAGGTCACGAGCTGGAGATTGGTGTTGTTTACATTTATATTGAAAACACCATCCATACTAAACAAAGCAAATATTATTTATTTCGAATGGGCATATCTGAAGAAAAAAACAGAATTCTTTAGTAAATTGTTTTTTTTTCTTTGTTCCGTTCCCCAAATGTTAATGGGAATTAATGATATTTATACTAATTTGCGTTAGGCAATAGATATTTTTTTTCTAATCAAAACCACAACCAACCAATTTCGAATTAAAAAAAATTATTAAAAATACAAATCTATCACTTTTCAAACAATTGTAAAATCGAATGAAACAATTATAAAATAAAGCAATTATAAAGCTATTTATACTGACTGTAGTTTAATTTGAAATGATATAATTGCGTTGTTGTAATTTAAGCCCGCAACAATTTAATTTTTTTTTGGAGCTTCATACTTTCATTTTTTTTAAAAATTTCTTTGGATGATTTTGATGATTTAAAAAAAAAATTTTGCTTCTGTGATTTTAGTTTAAAACAATTCTACAATTTGCATTGCCATTCGTTTAAATCATTTTTTGTAAGATAAAAAAAAATGGGGATAAAGCAGATTATTTTTGCAATTAAGGGATCCAAACTCGATAAGTTTAAATAGTCCCTTGAGCTGAATTGCCATGCACTTTGCTGATCTTTATTATAGTATAAATGTGATAACCGTTATGAGTATATACCAATGTGTGTCTTATTACTACATAATAGCCAATATTAACAAAATGTAGATTTTTTTCACTTCTGCATAAAAGAAATTGAGGATTGGTAATGTCATACCTCTATTCGTAATGTTGGTTTTTCAACTTGAAAGTCATCTTCATCTGCCCAAGTCTGTTGTGTTTCTTTTACTGTAGATATTGCATAAATTTTTAAGAATGCATAATCCACAAGTTTGTCTAAGTACTCGTCTACAGTTACTTCAATACCAAGTTCTTCTTCTGGAAAGTTTAAAAACAAAATTAGTTCATTTTATATTAAAAGCCGAAACAGAAATATCTGACGTATTTACATTTTGCGTTATGTTCTATATAAACTATAATTATGATTAATAGTAAGTAAATAAGGTAATATACACCTAGAAATGGAGTATTACAAACGAATATTTAGCATAAATATCTTAAATGTAGAGAAAAAGATTGATGATATTGAGATGATGTAGAGAAAATAAAAAATAAAAAAATTTCTTTAAGTAATATGAAATTTGAATTTTGGAACAAATGAGCTGAAGTAATAATCTAGTTGTTCTTAATTACCCTTGAGAATAGGTATTAATACGACTGTCGATATACCATTTTATACGATAAATAAAGTGATTCTATAATTTTAATTTTATTGTGAAATCTACAGCAAGTGAAAAAAGTATAAGGACTGCATTAAATTGAATGAAAATATGCTTTATTTTCATTTCATCTAAATGAAATTTTTATATATTTAATTCATGTTAACATATTTTTGCACTAACACTTATTGCGCATAAAAAACAAAATTTGGCTTCAAAATATGGAATTAAAAAAAAAAATAGTACTAAAGGAAATGTGGAAAAAAGTGTAAGGACATGTTCTAAAATAATATAGGTGGGTGGGGTTGGGTTAACTTTAAAATCTAAAATAGGAACGCCATTTTTATTGCAGATTTATAAGTACCCCATTTCGACCTATAGGTTATAGCACTTTGGTTCAATGATGACACTGTAATCTGAAAATAGAAGTGGGGTGCATATTGCTTAAAATGGAGAAATATTAAATGGTGAAAATTAATTGCTTAAATGGTGAAAAATACATCAGAGATTGAAAAAGTAACAAAAGTCGTGTATGGTCTATCTAATGACACCAAACTGGACGCCTTCCCCTCCCTCTGAGACTGGGGTGACACCCAGAGGCGTAAATCTGAAATATTTAACCGTATCTATACTTTTTTTGAACACCCTGTGTAAATAAGCAATATCAATCTTATAAAAAAAAATGAACTTACTTTGTCGTGGTTTTAGCGTGAATGTTCCTCTGGCCCTTTTCACTTTTCTAGCTGTTATTCCAGTATAATGAACAGTACTAGCAGAGAGAACAGATGTCACTGTTCTTTTCTCATCACTATTATTTTCTACCTCCACCACAACATGAAAGGGTCGCCCGATCATAACTTTATCGATATCTTTTAAAATGAATTTAACATCTTCTTTTCCTGGAGGAGGCATGTCATAAATATGAGTTAAACCTCCCCGTCTAGCTGCATTCAACACAGCCATACGTTCTTCGACAGAGCCTGTAATAAAAATCCACAAATTAAATCAATAATGACTTTATTTAATAGCTGAATTTTAAAGCTTTTAATGGTATGTACACAATAGTGGAAGAGACTCGTACAGTTTTTGACATTTTTTAAAAAATTTCTCAAATACTTAGTAGAGGATTATTTTGTGATTTAAATTTTTTTCATGGTATGCGATTTCTCATACTTAAAGTTTAAAGCTTTCAGAAGTTTGAGAGGCCGGTTATAAATTACGAATGAAAACATTAATTTTGAACATCCTATGTCAGAAAATATAGCAATAAATTTGTAACTTACATTGATAACTTCAAGTATTATATGTAATAATTGTACAAAATTCCATAAACCTAGCTTAAATATATTATAAAAAAAATAACATACATATAACATTTTATTAAAAAAAAAACTAATTTATTTGCCTTAAACCCCATTTACACGAGCCTTAAATTAAATTAAATAAAATATTTCTATAAGTATTTCTTGAGAAATTATTTTTAAAAAAAGTAAGACACTGAAAGTGTCTATATAGTCAGAGAGAGAGAAAGAGAAATTTTTTTTCTTCGTGTATTTATCTATGGCTTTTCAGCAAAATGCAGATGTTTGAGAAATTGCTCCAAAAACATTACTTTAATAAGGACATTTATGATATAATACTCCCAATATTATAATTTTTTCAAAATTATATTTAAATCGAGCCGCGATAGCTCAATGGTTAAAGGAAATTAACCGTCATTTTGAAAGACTGGAGTTCAATCTTCAGTTGCGACCTAAAACCCACCTTACAACTAGATCAACCGTTACCAGCTCCCGGTCTACAACGAGGGGTAGCGGGAGTCTTTCTTAGGGAATTAGTCTGTTTTCTAGTAGTGATGTTTTGCCAGGCGTACCCTTTTCATCTAAATAGTTATACGCTTCAAAACACCAAGGTTCCCCATTACTAATATTTCCTTTTGTTTGTGGTAACTTTTTCTTCTCTTACGTCAGACAAATTTTTAACACTGATCTTGCTACTTTAAATAAGTTTTTACCTGGCGCTTGGTGCAACATAGCTGCACCCGGCTTTTGTGTTATTAAACTGTACATTCAATCCCCTCCAGGATTAAGTCTCGATTCTAATATATTGATCTTCGATACGTCCAATGAATTGTGATTGGCCGGATAGCCTGGTTGATAGGGAGCTGGGCCCAAGTCCAACGTGAGTCCGATCTCCACCGGCCGAAGACTCTCCGTGTAGTAAATGGTGATTGGTGCATGTTAAATCTGTCGGGTCACAAAGTCCTCTAAGTTCCCAAAACAAATCAACACCTCTGGGGGTAATGAATTGGAGATCGATCGCTCTCTGGATCAGCTCAAAATTAGGATATGTGGATAATTGAATGAATGTGTCAATGGGTCCATCCTTTAAAACGGGCTGTAAGGCGCGTTTGTGGCGAAGACGTATTCTTGGCCATGGATGGCGCCACTGATAAACAAGAAAGGCTCCCTCTGCTTAAATTCGCTTAGTTTCACCAAGCTAGCTGTTTAATTTTCAAGTGACATTAGAAGCAACAACAACTTATTTATTCATTTATTATAAAGATTTTAAGATAAAATTTCGATGAGCATTTCTCTCATACATTAAAATAATTTTTTTGTTTGGAGATTAAATAAATTAAAAAAATATTGATTTATGTTCTTGGCAGGTGGGTTTAAGCTTCGAAATTAAATTTAATTTCGAAAATATCTCATTCATTTTTTAATTTTCAATATCTTTTGATTAATTATTGTATTTTAGTTATAGTAAAAACGAATATTGAATATTGAAATTCAATATTGAAATGCTGTTTCCTTTAAGATACTAAATTGATAAGCTTGATAAGATGCACTGAAACTAAAATTGAAATAGTTTCGAATAGTTATTCTTAGAATGGCTAGTTTTTTCTAAAATAGCCATTCTAAGAATAACTATTCGAAATTCATGAAGCACAAATTCATAAAATATTTTGATTTAACAAAAATCTCAAGACACTCTTTTTAAGATTAGTTTGAATACAATTTATAATGAATAAAAATGGCTGTTAACAAAAGTGGACCTAAGGGTGGTTTTTGTAGCTTATTTTTTTTTAAGGAAAATAAAGAAAAATTTTAGTTCAACAGCGTTAAACTCGAAGCAGAGCCGTAATTTTAAACTATCTACATGGTGTTCCGTAAAGACTGCATTTAATATGTATTTTTTCAGAATCCTTATCTAAAATGAAATCAAAAAGGTGTATACATTAGGGTTATCAATTAATATTTATTCGAAGAAAAAACAAAAACGCCTTCGAAATCTGACCGATTACAGTAGAAGACGGCAGATGTAATAAACATCAAAATAGACTACATTGGAGGTTGAAAGGAGGTTATTATTCCCTCGTCTTCCTATATCTCTGTTTCCGCCAGCAATCAAACCTGTCTTTTTATTTAATATTCCCGCTTTCCTGTACCGTGATGTGTCATATTTTGAAAGCATTTTTGTTTTTTCCTCCTCGATTATTTTGCGCATTCTTATTTGTTTTCATTTTGGTTGGGATTCTTAATATACATATTAAGGATGGTCTTTACGAAATACGCTGCATACCATCTTGCCATAAAGAATTATTTGGGCTTTAAAACGGACAAATAATTTTAATATCGATAAAAAAAAAATTTAGAATTTTTTAAAAAATTAGTCAACTATATTTCAACCTGGATAAAAATTATTAAAATCAATAAATAATTCTGAATTTTTTTCAAGTTTTTATAAGGACAGGCAATGTAGCGTTGGAGCAAGTTTTCAAATATCAAATAAATTAATTCATATTTTTTTTTTCTTCATTTTCACAGAACTGTGACTTTTCTTCAATTGACATTCCTGCTTTTATTTGCAATATTTAATTATGATTTGGATCATTTAACTTGTGTTAATTAGAATCAAACCTGAAACCTCTGATGTCTATCTATTCAGTTTACCTTCTTTAGACTTATATTCTGCTGAAATGTCTTCCATATCACGATGCCCACTTTCGTCATCAAATCCTATTCTTTTTGTTACAACAAGTTTTCCAATCCTAGGAACAAAAATTGAACAATTATAAATATTTCTGTTGTAAAAGAAAGACATTTTAAAGTTAAAATGTGTATAATTTGAAAGACAATTGAGACAAAGGAATTCTGCATTTTTCTGTTAGTCTCTGTTTGAAATTCATTGAACTGAAATCTCAAAGCTTTTTCTTCTCTTTCGCGCGCTCTCTCTCTCTCTTTCAATTTATCTCTAAATACCAATCTAGTATTCATCAATCTAATTTATTAATTTATCTTTTGCTAGTTTATTTTTCGACAGTTTCAGATTTTTCGTCCACAAAATATGATGACTAGCCGCAATCTAGAAAATGTGGAACTAATACCGGTATGCAATTGAAAAATCAACGCAAGTACTTCATGAAAGATTTCGAGAAAAGAAACCTGAGATTTTTTTTCTTCTTTTCCTTAATATACTATAAATCCTAAAATAAAATTTCATATAATTTATAAAAAAAGTAGATTTCTGAAATTGTTTTAATTGCAATATATAGTTCATACAAGAACGCATAATATAAAAATCTCAATTTTGAATTTTTGTCAGTTATGTTAATTTTTCTATCGTAGGGCAGAGTAGTAATTTTATGGTTAATAGAACTTTTCAGCGTATCAAAACATTTTCGCACACAATTATAAATTTTGTTCATACAAAGAAAATCTTATGTAAAATATAATTTTTAAAAATTATGTATTTTTTAATTCCAAAATAATCGAAAACTTAAAATTATAAGGTGTTATATTTTTATAACTTAATTAATCTAATTTTAATGACAAATATAATGTAATTTGAATGAAATTATTCAAAAAGTTTCTGAGAAATATAATATTAAAAATAAGACTTTTTTTTAATTTTATTGCCATAGGAACTATTCAACCACCTTCATTCAAATGTGGTATTTTATAATCATAAATACTCTAATTAAAATGATGTAAAAATATGCTCCTATTCAAAGTTTTTTCGATAATTATTAAGTTAAAAATAATAATAAATTAGCTAATAAAAAATGATTTTTCACGAAATAAACACATATTAGATTCAAATGTATTACATGATGGATTTGTTTACTTTTCGAAAGTATATTAGAAGTATATATATCTAATGAAAATTGATTATTAGAAAATCTTACTGGTAAGTATTTGTTTTAAGTTTTATCCACCCAAATTCATTGTTCTTGTCTAATTTCCAGTGCACTATGTCAGCATTTACTTCGGCAAACACAAATGGTGTATCGTAGGAATGATTTATTTCTCCTCTGCGAATAGCTACCAATGAGGCGGGTCCAGCCCGGAATGCTCCTAAAATATAAATAAATTTTCATTATTTGTCTCTACCACAGAATTACACTTAAACCCTCACCTTCTACGTACGCTAATAAAGCATGGCGCTTAATTAAGATGTTTCTAAGTAAAGTCGTGGTGGCTCAGGGAATAGAGCGTTCGCCTCCCAATGAGGTGAACTGGGTTCGAATCCAGCGGTGGCTGGTGAGACGAATTCTACACCCGGCTCACACCAACCACAGTGCTGACGTAAAATATGCTCAGTGGTAGACGGATCATGAGTTAGAGTCCCCTTCCAATCAGGATGGCCGTGGGAGATTTTCGTGGTTTTCCTCTCCGTATAACTCCAGTGTGGGCTAGTTCCACCGAATAATCCTACACGAAGGCTAATTTCTTCCAATACTTGATTCAGGAATTCCTTCTGGATTGGGTTCAAAACTACAAGGCCTTGCACTTGAACATAGTAGTCATAAACTCAAAAATTATGTTATAAATACATAAAAATAAATAGAATAAATTGGCTGTCCCACGGGATTCGAATGAGTGATGACAGCACAATAAAAAATATGTTGCTTTTTAAACCCACTGGAACAAGAAAGCGTGGAAAGCCGCGGTTGAGATGGGGTGACTCGGTGGAGTCAGATTTTCTTGCAATTAATGAAAAGAATTGGAGATCAAAGATAAATCGGAAGTCATTATGGGTAAATCTTCAGGGGAAGGCATTGACCCACATCGTGACGATTACGTCATAAATCCACCTCGTTTTCCTACAGTTGTTTACCGATTTTTAAGCAGTTTTGAAAAATTTTTTAAATTCTGATTTTGCAATATGATATTTTGACACCCAAATTTCGAATCTGAGTTATCGCTTTTTGATTTGCTTTATTCGTGGCTACTCCATCTTTAATCCATATCAGCTTCCAACCATTTTCTCGACAGTTATTTTTTCGCTTTTATGGTCTTTTTCACATGGTTCTTTAAATAACGACATTTTTAATGCAATGCTATTGAAGTGCAGGAATTTCAAATTTGACTAATCACTTTGTGACGCGTTCAATTCGCGACAAAATCGTTGTAAATCAACGTAATTTTCTAATCGTTTTTTCGCCAGTTCTTATAGTTTGTTGTCTTACTTCCGACCCTGCGATTTCCACATAGCTTTTAAAATTTCGATATTTTAAATACGATATTTGGAATCGCGCACTTAAATATGTAAACTTTCATACAATTATATTTCATACATTTATATAACATTTAGTATTCAGTGATTGGTTTATTGCAATAAGTCAGACAGCAATGATTATGCTGAATTCTCTGCATCACAAAATCTATTACGATACTGCTGAAGAAACTGTTTGTAACAACCCTGATTTTGCGAGTCTTATTTTTTAAGCACTAGTAAATTTTGATACTGATTTTGAAAAATGATATCATGCCCTGGTTCTAACTGTTTCTAATCTGAGACAATGTCGGAAATAAACTCGTTCTCAGTTATGCCGATAGTTAAGACATTAAAAAAAGAATTATATTAAAACTGTCTTTAATATAGGACTATCTAAATTTATTTCAAGAATTTGTTTTCTTTTTTTTAAAATTTGTCTCAATAGTCTCTAATCTAAGAAAATATTAGCAATAAATTCGTACAATGTTTTTTTTCTCTCTTTTAAAAAAAAATTATTTTAGCTGTTTTGAATGTTAGGCAATAACGAAATTTGTTTCTTATTTTTGAAATTTTCCAGACATAGTCCATAATACTTATTCTGATCTTGCAAATCAGTTAAGTCTACTATATCACATTTTTAAAGCGAACTGACACCTGCAAGTGTTGTCTGTTATCATACACCTGAGAGAACTTGCTTAAAGATAGTTCTCAAGACGGGTCAAAATTCATCCTCCTTTGAGATCCCCCATGGTGAATTGCAAATCTCCGGCATCTATCAGTCAAATCAATTCAGCAGTAACAAAAATTTGAAGGATCAAATTCAAACTTTGTGAATGGTTTATCAGGTCTATTAGTCTAATAGTCGGTAATTTTACTGATAGACAATTGCTCTTTACAATGAGTATTTTACAAAATGGTATAAATTTAAATATTATTTGACTGTTTTACTATTAGATTAAAATCATTAAAGTTTGTTTGGTTGTCAGATGAAACTGAAAGAATGTGGAAGATGATAATTGAAAACACCTTTAAGTTTCAATCGATAATCCTACTATCTTTGAAACTTTTAATTCCATCTTCACTAATGTTCTCGATAATAATTCACCAGATTTTGTCTATGTTTTTTTTTTTAGATGTCAATTTACTTTGCATAATTTGAGCTTCATTTTTTACAAAACTTTTTACATTGTGGGTGGCAATCTAGGAAAATCTTGCAGTTCTAAAAATATTTGTTTCTAAACATTTCGTTTATCGAAACTTATACTTAGATTCGAACTGAGATTGGCTAACTAAAATTGTTAAAAGGATTTTTTAATTTATTTATTATTATTATTTTTGAAATTTTGTTTTTGTAATGTATAATTAGAGTTTTAAATTGTCGTTTCTCGCTTAAAACATTTTACACCATTATAGTTTTTTACGCGTTTTAGGTTACATAATTTCGTACAATACTGACATGTTTCTTTAAACGTCAATAGGGTGTTTTATATTATCTAAGTAACTTTTACGATTCCACTATACTTCAACTAAAGTCAATTTCAAATTTGTTTATAAAGATTTCATATAACATAATTTAAAAACAATTTCTACTTATAAAATTTTTGCATGCAGAGTGAAACCTCATGTTATGGATACTCCTACAAAACAATCATTCAATCTTAAAACAATCATTAGAACAAAGTAAATGCGTATACCTTCGCTTGTTTCTTGTGGTGTAGCATCTATTGCTTGCCAGCCACCATAACCTGAGGGTAAATCTGACCGAGACATCCAACAATCATTCCATACATGAAAATTCCTGTTGGAATGTTTCAAACAATGTTGATCAAAGAAAATATTTAAGAAATGATAAAGTAATAATTCTTAATATTTTGAGTAAAACGTTTGTTCATTCCTTATTGAAGTATAATACGAATATATTCTGATATCTTGTTTTTGCATAATTGGGTGCATTTTTCCCCAAATTGTGCATCCATTAAGCTTTTGCTCCGAGTCTAAACCACAAAAACTAGGTATCAAATAATATTGTTCGATATATTTCGATGCAATTAATTTAAATATTGCATTTATTGAAGGGTTACTAGTTTGTGTTTAAAAAAAAGTTTATCTGGCTTTGAAAAAGAAATGGTGTTTGCACAAAATGTAATGTTCCGATGGTATTATGGAATAATATGGAGTATCAGCAACGAGATTGATAATGATTTTTTTTTTAATCATCTCGTTACAATTATGATTGTTTTGAGTCAAAGCTTTTTTTATTAATGATAATGGCTAGATTGTTAACGTCGTTCTAATGGATTATTGGTGACAGCTTAGATTCCTTCTTAGTGATGATCCGATAAACAATACTGGCACATTAGCGCTCATCATTCCAAAATCCATTTTCTGCACTCCAAAACCATGCACAAACTTTTCTTTGTCTGAAATCACCAGGAAAACGATATTAGCGAGAATTCCGAGTCCCTAACAAGGGAGTGTTGTGCCATGTTCAGGTGAAATTTTGCCAGAGCAGGTGGTGGTCACTTCAATTTTTTTTTCATTTTAAATACTGCTCCATTACTCGGCAACGGAGAAGAGTTTGATAAAATTATGTATTACCTGATTGCAAACTTCATTTACTTTAAAAAAAAAAAACAAATATGAAATATCAGTCGACATGTTTCAAGTGCTTCAAAAACAGACGCCCATTTTCAAGACTTGCCAGACGTAAATGTGAAGGAAAAAAAATTTGGCTCCTATTTTTGAAGCTCTTGAAATATATTGACTGTGTTTCATATTTCTATATTTTTGAAGCGAATGAAGTTTTCGATCAAGTAATATTTTGCGTTTCAGTTTCTTGGGGTTATATACTTAATTAAATACATAATTAGCTAAAAATTTCGCTAGCACTTAAAAACACTATAATAAACTTATTAGGTCTTTCACGAAATATCTACCAATAAGTATTTGGATGTATATGCATATTGGTGGAGTTGGAATTTTGGACAGGGGATGTTTTCTTCGTATCGATGAAGATCATTGGTTCAAATTAATGATGGGCTCATTATTGACACCAACAGAACTATTTTGAATGAAAGATTGCCTTTTACGTTATGGCTATTTTACAGGTTGGATCCATGGTACTTCGAAAAAGACAACGTTAGCTGTTCTGTTGCGAGGTTTTGTTGCATAGATTGTTAAGATGACATTGGTATTAACCAAATGAACTGGTCTGCCCAGAGCACAAATTTAAACCCTATCGAGAAGCTCATGGATGAGTTGGATCTCCGAATTAAAGGGAGTAACAATGTAAGTTCGCAATTAATGAAAGAGCTTGCATGCATTTTTTAAGCCCTCCCAAGTAGAAAAAATACTTCGAGGATTCATTGAAAACAATCTCCGAAAGATTGAGACTTATAGCTTTCTGTTAAAAAGAATAAAATTTCAAAATACTTATTGTTCGATAGTGTAACAGCGTACACACTCTTGAACTGTTTATAAAAAGTGATGGACAAAATTATTTAAATAATTAAATTTAAGGCACACATTTTGCTATTTCTTTAAATGTTTTGGAAAAATCTTCGACTTTTAGTTAGAAAAATCGGCAGCTCAAAGAGTCACGTTTCCAAATTATCAACACTCAGTCATGAAGAATTCGATGAAAATGATTAAAATAAATTCGAAAGCTTGTACGTGTTTTGAATTTGGGATCTCATATGTTTTCTGCCTTATTTCTAAAGTCACTTTAATCTTACATTTGCTGCAATATTATTTCATTTTTTGAATGAAGGATAATTTTTTTTCAGTTTTGAATGGAAACTATTTAATTGACTCAAATCTATAGAATAGTTTAATTTGTTAAAATTTTGTGTTACACTTAGTGCCATATAAATTTAATAAACCCTACAATAAAATTCTTATAGAGAATATATACCAGATACATTCTTATAGAGTATACATACCAGTATACATTCTTATGGAGTATACATACCAGAACTAACTTATATATTACTATTACAAGTATATAGCTTGAAAATTCATAGACTACTAATTACTTTTTTTTTTAATGATAAATCTTTTTTTTATTTTTGCCTGATTTGATTTAACTTATTTTGTAATTCTTCCAGAGAGATTATTAAGAAATGTAAAAATAATTCGTACCAAATAGAATCTTCGTTAAATTCACTGAGCTCGTTTCCTTCAGCATCAAAATATTTATCGATGGTTAAACTGTCATCTGTGTCATGAGCTGATACATAGTTTGTAACACTTCGGCATGGAATTCCTAGTGCTCTACAAACTGTTTTCACATAAAAGTTTATGGTTATGTTAAAGTTACTATTACATATGTAAGAGAACAAAAAATGAGCATATAGAGAGAGCAAAAAATTATCATATATAGGGTAAAAAAGAGCATGAAAAACCGGAAAAATACTTTTTAACTTGAAGCGAATAAATTATTTGAAAAATTTGGAAAAGATACTGAAACAGTAATGTAAAAGCTTATTAAGGGCTAAAGCAACAGAAAATGGCTCATCATTTCTAAAAAAAAAGAAAAAAAATAGAAAGAAAATGAATTAAGTAGGCTTTCTAATCAAAAACTTCAAACGTACACAGTAAAAAAATATTAGTGCATTTCAACACCAAAAATGGTGGCCATATGTATGACGTTTCATTACACCAAAGTAATGTAATGAAACGTCATACATGATTTTTGTATCTAGGTGTTACACTACACCAAGAACCAAGGATGTTCTTTTACGCTACTTGGTGTTTAGTAGCCGCCACCATGTTTGTTATTCAGTAACACTAAAAATTATAATTTCAGTAGGATATGATACGCATAAGAGTCAGTCATGTTATTCTTATGATACAGTTTAAAGCAAGGATTATTAAATTAGGACGCATGTATACAATATTTCTTAATATAAAATTAGTTTGGCAATCGCATAGCACAGAGAGAATAATAATATGAATTCGAATAAAGCTTAATAAAACCATAGCGGATAGAAATATTATATAATTATTTAATACGACTGACAGATTTATATAAATCTTCTTAAGAGAATATAATTAGCTTATTATATAACTAAAAACATACATGCCTTTTATAAGAGTTTAGTTCTATTTTTTCGGAATGTTCAGCATCGAGTGAGGTAAAGCAAACTTCCACCTTCTCGTGCTCAAATTATAAACAAACTAGTGATGTCGCCTAAATGAATGTGCGCCAGAATTGGCGAAAATAATTTGTGGATAGAGTAAATGTATCTGATCTTGGTGTAAGCCTTCTGCTTTATTGAAGTTTAGATTTAAACAAGTGGCTGAGCGGTCAGGGTATCTAAATACGAAACCAATGATCACGGATTCGAATCCCGCTCAGGGCGTGGATGTCTTTGTGTGCTTGTTTTCTTCCGCGTGAATGTGGGCCACCCTATGAACCGGTATCTGTGACGTGGGTTATGTTGCTCGCCTCCGATACTTAGGTTAATTGATGCCCATTTGGTAACGTTAAATGAGCAATATTTTTGGCTTCTTCCGTGAAGAAGAACGCAATAGTTCCGAGCCAGTCAGTTCTAGCTATTAATTTAAAAAAAAACAAATAACTACGCACTTTAAATTGCGCATGAATTCTCGATTCGATATTAACTTGAAACAACACACAGTTTTAGAGTTTTTCAACGCCTGAATGTAAACCACCAAATTACACCACAGGTTTTACAGTTCACGATACTTCAATATTAATATTAACTAAGTAATATCTAGTAATAACTAATATCAGTAGTAATTAATGTTAACTAGTAATAGTATAACCAATATTAATGGTAACTAACTCAATGTTAATAGTAATACCTCAAAATTAAAACTAGATCTGTTGAATATTTAGCAGCAATATAAAATTGCGAAAAATATGCGATGCCTTTAGAGTTTCTCTAAGTGGCTTTGGAGCGATTTAATGAAGCAATCATATTTTTAGTAGTTAACACTTACCTGTTGTACAAACTCCTGAAAACACCCAGCATTGTCCGTATCGAACAGGCTGACCACCACTGGCTAAATATTGCTCTAAAATAGCGGAACTTCCTGTCCAACTCCAGGGTGCTGTTCCATCATCATAGTTACCACTCCAGTTACCAATTAGTACACCCCTATCATCATTGCTATTGACCTTTAAGAAAAAAAAATAGATTTTCTTTTTTCTAAAATTCTGAAACTTCATTTTCTAATAAATTAGTTACAAAGTTTTCTCAGACGGTTTGATTATTAGGTTTACCCCCTAACACCCCCAATCACTTTATGGGAAACGTGGTAATACCTCCTTGAATAGTAAACCTCCCACTATGACACTTAACAATATTTTTAGTTGTGGATAAGGTAAAAAAATTGCATTCTTTAAAAATAAAGGAAAGTTGTATATTTTTTCCCTTAGAATTTAAAGCAGAAAGTTTTTTTTTTTCAAACTTAAAAAAAAATTGTTGCCCGGATTGTAGAGATGGAAATAAAGTTTTAAGGCATAAATGACGTCCGCGTTCGGTTACGGGAGTTCTCGTTTTGCGGAGAAGGTACATAATGGTTTATTTATTGAAGATTCACAGGGAATTTTACATATATAGATATGTTACGGACGGGGAGTGTCGATGAAGCTTCAAAGCAGTCTAGGGTTGCGTTTTAAAGCTTTTATCATGACAAAAAGCACTTAAATGACAATAGAAAATAAGTAGAGCTGGAACATCTTAATGAGCTCGCTCCCTGCAGCCGTTCAGTGAGTGAATGTAGAGGGAGTCTGCTCAACTACAGGTGGCGCTGAATGGCGTATGCAACATATATATATATAAAATATGAATTTGCAATAAATTGGATTTGAAACCCATTAATGTATCCCGTTATGTTATTTAAAGTTTTTTAACGATAAATAAATATTTTTCAACTTCTGAAGTTGACTAAAAATATAAAACTTTTTCCCGTAAATATTTTTCTCCAAAGCAGTANTATAGGTACAATGTTTTCATGGGGCACAATAGGACCCATAATCCTATTAACAACAATCCCTGACGTCTGTAAGCTATTTGAACATAGTTGCAGGCCAGGTTCACCCATTCATGGCAACAGTTTTTCCTGCGGGGGATGGTGTTCACCAACAGGATAATGCACCATGCCCTAAGGGTCGAATCGTCATGGATTGGTTCTAGGAGCATTCCAGTGACTTTCAAGTCATGTCTTGGCCCCCAAATTCGTCTGACCTTAGTCCAAAATAGCATTTGTGGTCCTACTTGGAAAACCAAATTAGTGCTGCCACGCTACCTCCTCGCAATGTGAGGAAATTGCAGGACCAGTTGGTGAGAGCTTGGTACTATATACCTTAGACTACCTATCAGCACCTTGTGGAATCAATGCCACGGCGGGTGCTAGCAGTTTTGAGAGTTAACAAATTTAAATTATTAAGCTTTTAAAATAAATTTCTGAAGAATTTTTTAATATTAATTTTGTTATAAGTTTAGTTTTTTTAATGATATTTTGATAGAAACAAAGTATGCTTCAAGTTTATTTAAATGTAAATTTAAGCCGAGCTGTAAATTTAGGTCTATATAATTTTAAATTTTTTTCAAAATAATAACTTGATTAGAAAAAACTGTCCTTTGAGCTTACTTAGGTCTGTTTAGTAAAAAAAAGTTTTTTCAGTAGTATATATATATGCATATATACATAATTTGAGTTTAATAAGGTTTGTTTAGCTTGAAATTTTTTCCTTAGAATAGGATTTCTGAGCTGTTTTTATTTCTACCAGAAAATTCTTTCGACTCAACCAAATAGAATTTGCTCATACTAATTTTTAATTATAGTGATATTATTTTCATATTAGTCAATGTTATGTCTATATAATAAAATTAGTTTTAGCAAATATAACTTTTCTTGAGAGATTACTTTTAATCTATATTTGTATTTGTACAAGCTATTTCAGAATGTTTACTTTTTATGAAGCAATAAGATCTTAAATACATGCACTTAATTGAAAAAAAATTAAAATCTCATACCATTGCTGATATAGCTCGTACGACTTTAACAGGATTTCCTCTTGCTGTATAATCTAAACCAGATCTTTCTAAAAGAAACACACTAGCGGGAAGAACGGCATCAGCAAACTAAAAAAAGAGAAGTCTATAGGTTTTATAATTTTGAATAATAATACATTAAACAGGTTGCAACATGTATAGACAATGTGTCCCACTTAAATAAAGCCACCATGATTTTGTGCTGTAACTTGACACAAAGAAAAACAATGAAAACTAAACCAATGTATTAAAAAGTCTATATCTAAAGACATATATTTGAAAGGAGTTACTAATTACCAGCTCCACACGGATAGGAAGTTAGCTTCATCGAATAAGAAAAAAGGAGGGAAAAAAAGTACCCCATAAAACTATTCCTGATTATAACTAATATAACCGATATGTTTATGTATGCCTTGAAATATATGATGCAGAATACCATTTACTGAAGCCTGGAGGACATAAATATTATTCCAGGTTTCAATTTTGGCAACCTTCTATTTTGCCACAAACTCAAACTGCTACAATTTGGCATATATATTTCGAAGTACACTATAAAAACTGTGGTTTAATATCCCACTGAATATAATGCTGGACAATTCAAAAAAGCGTGCAAAGAAGCACTGTAATTCAGGTTAACACTAAATCGAACTTTCATATACAATTTAAAGGGTGTAATTTATATCTAAACTTATAAAATGGCATAAGCTTACACCAAACACTTATACTCATTTGCACCAAACGAGAATTATTTTCACTTCATGTTTTCGAGCTTTTAAGATCGTATAAAGATTGTTTACATTTGAATATAAGCTGGCGTGAGTTAGAAGTCTTCGACGCTGCTGGTGGAGCAGGAAGTGACTTAATGCTTGTAAATATGTGCTTAGATATAGACTTTCTTAATGTATATGATTGGTTCTCATTTTTGTTTTCTTTTTTTTTGCCCCCAGTTAGGGAACAAAATCAAGGTGGCTTTATTTAAGTTGGATACATAGTGTAAAATATTGCTATATAATATTGTTATATAATATAATATAAAATAAACTGTCATGGTGACATTAGATAATTTATCGTAAAAAAAAAGAAAAAAAAACTAAAAATGCGCCACAAATAAGAGAATTAGCACAGTAAAGGGGCATTTAATTTTTTCACTACCTGCTCTGACCACCGACCTTACTAAGACATAAAAATACAATTTAAAAAAGAGAAAAAACAAAAATATGTTCCTAGAAAATTTCTAAGAAACAGGGATTCAATTTACTTTTCTAATAACATTACTCATTACTGCATTAAAATTATACATATTATGTTTACTAAGTATATATATATAAAAATTAATATAAAGAGAAACTAAAAATGGGAAAACCAATAGTCGTTATCAAGACACATCTATTGGTATAAATTAATGCGATATTTCTGAATAAAGAATAATTTTCCTAAGATAAAAATTATTCTTTATATGTGTCGATATCGCAACAAACAAAAGTTCCCTTACTTTTGCATGTGATTAAAAATTATTAGGATACGTAGATGAATGTTAATAGTATTGCACTTTCATTATGTGAATAAGCTATTTATTGACGGTGGATACGAAAATAAAATGAAAATATAGATCAGTGCATATGATTCTCCCACTGTTATAAAATTGAAATTATTTTTCCTTTATCACTTGTAAGGATTACGTATTCACTATAACTTGTAAGGGTTTATATTCACTTTTTTACTATTATTTATGAAAATTAAAATTTTGAAATAAAGTTCTTAAGATCATTATTAAAAAACTAAAATGTATTATTACCATTTTTTGAATTTATATCAATATTTGAAATTTTCATATACTCTGCTATGAGAATCCTGGATCATGCAATGTTTAAAATTAAATTTGGAGGATTGAAATTTTATAGAATGATTATTATTACTAGTGATTGATATCTGGCTTTCTTTTTGAAATTAATGTACAATTATCCTAAATCTTGTAAAATAGGTGAATATTTGAACAGATTTTTGAAGAAAACAGTTTCAAATAGTTATGAAAGCAAAATTATGTATTTTTATAAATAACTTTTTTATTCTATTTTGATGTGAGTTGGAAAACTGGATAAAAAATTAAGAATGCTTAAAATTCACATTTTTAATTGCAAATCAATGGAAAGGAACTTAACAGTTATCATTATGCACGAGAAATAAAATATTTTGGCTTTGAATTATGGAATTGATTATAAATTTTTATATAAAATATTATGTAAAAAGACAAGATAGTTTCAATATTATAATAATTTAATACAGGCAATTATAGTTAATACTTGTTTTAAAAACCATGCAAAATTTACCTGACCAAAAACCCAAGGCCGTCCAACTGGTTGTTTGTAAGAACCAACAAAGATTTTTCCTTCGTCATTTAGAACATACTCAAGTCTTTGTTTGGAATCAGACAGAAAGACTGGATCATCTAGTAAAACATAGAATAATTATATTGATTTAGAGAAATCATTAGTTATCTATAATACTAGACATTCAATATAATGTTTATATTTTAATAATATGGTCTTATTTCTATATTTAGTAGAGTAATGTTGTTTTTTCCTTCCCTTTTGGCAAGATACAGGGTATCCAAGCAGTTTTACACAATACAGTTTTTTTAAAGAAAAAAATTATTTATTCATAAAATAGGCAAGTTAGAATTACATTTGGAGTAACAGATACGGTAAACGTACTATATTTTATTTAATAATTGGCGTTAATTAGCCAACCCATTTTTTCGATTTATGACTATCAATATTCAACGTAGCCTTGTAATTTTGTGCCTAATTCAGAAAGTAAAGTAACTCTTGGGTTAAGCTTTGGGACAAACTAGTCTTCTTAGAGGAAAAAACAACCCAGATTTGCATTACACTTAGAGAGAAACTCACGAAAGCCTCCTACAGTTAGCCTGATTGCAATGAGATTTTAACCCATGATCAGTCTACCATTGACATATTTTACATCAGCACTGTAGTCAGTGTAAGCCGGGAACAGAATTCGTATCTTCCAGCAGCGGCTAGGATTCCAACCTGAGTCACCTCATTCCCCTGAGCCACCGCGGCTCTATACCATATTTTATTTTATATTATAACCAGCAGTGAACAGCCAGCCAAATTTTAAATTTACGATCAATATTGAACTCCAGCCTCATAATTTTGAATCCAATCCAGAAGACAAGGTAACTCCTGGATCAAGCATTGGGACAAACTAATCTTCGAGGAGGACTTTTGACGGAACTTACTCGCATTTGCGTTACATGGGGAGAAAACCACGAAAACTTCCTCGGTTACCCTGATGGCAAATGGATTTTAATTCATAATCTGTCTATTATTGAAAATATTTTACGTCAGCATTCAGGTCGGTACGAGCCGAGAACAGAATTCGTATCTACCGGCAGTGACTAGGATTCAGAAATGGTCACCTCATTGGGAGGCAAGCGCCCTATCATCTGAGACACAGTGGTTCTGTACCATATTTGGTGTGCATTGTGAGCTGACGACATCATTGCGTAATTTTTTTCTATTCCTCATTTGAGTAATCTCTTGCTTGTACAATAAAATTTGTCTCCTTTATTGAACTATGTTTTAAAAACCTAATTACGATATGATTAAATGTACCACAAAAATAACTGTAGTATTTTTTATTAAAATTTAAAATTTTTGTTCTTGTTGAGACATTTTATAGAAAATTTTCTTTTAGTTTAAGTAATTTTCTTAGAGTACAAAGTGTTTACCTTTACACCAGGGGTTAAAAAGTACATAAATACTCTCTTTACATTCATGGAAGACGCTCTTTTCATTGCCTGCTACTTGTGATTTTATCTTCATTCGCCAAAGTCCAACACCAGCTGTATAAGGAATCTGGACTTGTAATGTAAGGATAGCTCTTTCTTGGCGAGATATACAAGCATCCCAGTGAGCAGAATCACGGGTAAATACTTTATTATTTGGAACAGGAAGAATAATAAGGGTTCCTTTACCTATTTGTTGCTTTGGCCCTGAAATTTAAGAAAAATGTGTATAGATTTGTAAGGAACTGTAAATTTGACATATGATTCCTACATACAGAAATAAATTAAGACACTCAAACTACACTAGAGTTTCAACACAAATAAATAATTACTATAATAATGTTACTATTTATGGTAAAAATCTTATTCTACAGTATTTTCATAGCCCTTTCCTTTTAATTATTCTCATCCACCGATAATTCTGACAGGTGAGCATATTACGTCTAGATATATGTAAGTAAAATCCTCTTTTTTCTTTATTTCTTTCTCTTAAAAATTCATACCATCACTCTTATTTTTGCCCTCGAACATACTGGATTGAATACGCAGTTTAATGAATGGTACAAGGTCTGGAAACGGCTCTACTGCGCTAAACTTTGATGTAATTGCATAAGTAATTAAACGATATTATAAGTTACGTATGACGAGGAAAAAGGACTACTAGGGTGCCTCGGGATTGTGAGATTCGTGTTTATAAAGACAAATCCTCTTGATGAGACGTCCTGACTACTAACTCATAGTCTAATTATATAGAACACGAATGTCTCCTATCAACTCTAATTTAAAAAAAAAGAACTATATTAAATAATTTTCTGTGATGACATAGGGGTCAAAATACTGAATTGTTAATGTGAAAAACTGGGTATCGATCCAGAGTGGCAGGTTGAATTCTATCCAGCTTCAGATGAATGAGTACCAGCTTGTCTGGTGTGTATATCCTACTCTACACTATAATCATAGAAGAGAGACTTTTGATTATTTCGCAAACTAACTACTACTACAAAGGTTGAAATATAATTTAAACGTCTTGTAAACACTGAGGTTTTTCAATGACTTACGGGTGTTAGCCTGTGATTTTCTTTGCTATCGTTTGCCCCTCAGACGACTCTTTCAAGCATTAACAGCAAGAGAGTTCAGTGTAGCAAAATAGAGCTTAATATCAGAGACTAAAACAAAGAAGATCGCAGGTCCATGTCTTTAAAAGAATTTAAGCACTGGACCATATTTTGTGACAAAGCGTTTTAGTCCTGTAAGTTTTCTTTGATAAAGTGCTAGAAATTTCGTTAATATGTCACGTACAGAAGGATTTCGTTCTCTTGCAGTAAACTATTTAAGAATTTTATCTTTTTGACAAAGTTTATCTATTTTTTTATCTAATATACTTATGAGACTTATTCAATTACTTGTAACCATGTTACTTTTTTAAACTGCATGTTATTTTAAACTGATAATTTTCTCAACTTTAAAATCTGCTAGTCTCGAAGGCTAATGCATTTTCATTAAATTTCACGAAGTGATTTTTTAGAATTAGTTTTCTGTTTACATATTTATGTAAATACTTTGTGTATCATTCCCTAGAAGCAAAAGTGAGTTCTAAAGATATAATGAGGAGTGAAATAACTTCACGTTGTTTATTTATGTGAGGAAAGCCAGTTTACTTCAGTTATTGCAGAACTAAATTTAAATTTTGTTTCACCAATATTGCTAAAATGCTGCAAAGAAACTATTTTCCCCTTCAATGTGAAAACTACCTCAACCTATAAGGTATTAGTAGTGGAATAAGCCAATTTTGGCCGATGTTGTTCTTCAGATGAAATGTTTGAGTTGATTTAATTTCTTGACTAGGTTTTAATTTACATCTAAATGGTAAAATGTAATTAAAATCCCGAATAGATTGGGTTAATTTTTAGAATTTTAATTCCAGAATACAGTAATCGAATTTAATGACAAATAGCAAGTTCTAGAAACTTACGGAGTATTTATTTTAAAATATAAAAATTACTGTATAACCTCCTCATTATATAGTCTATTGTTTTTGTTGATAAAATTAAACTTTAAAAAAATTGCTGGTTTTTAAAAGTTTACCTTTGAAACTGTACTTTTTACCGGTGGTGTTTTAGAAATGTTAATATGGATATAGAAATTAGCAATAATTGTAAAACTAGTAAATATCTTTTCTGAAAGTTGCAATTTTTTCTAATTGGATTTTAGTTATTTTTAGTTTCTCCTTTTTTTAAATTGAAAACGTGTGATCAAACTTCTAAAATTTTTAACACATTAAGCACACATTATGCAAAATCCACACGTAATGTAAGGATAACTATATTTGAACGAAAATCTAAAATTTCGGACTGTTTTGGTTAATGAGATTTTTCTTCGAAAGATATTACATAATTAAATCATAGGCCTAGAGCGTTAGCTTAAGCTTTCAGCACTATAGCTTACTTAATTTTTAAAAATGCATAATCACTAGTCTTTCATATGTTGAAACCTCAAGCAGTCTTAATATAAAAAAATTTTCATATGCTTGCTTGAAACTAACTTGTTTTAGATTCCTAACTATTACAAACTCAAAATTTTTATTTCTTTTTCAGAATTCAGTTTGACCATAACCGATTAGCCATGGATGTTTTTATTAATCACTAATGAATCACAAAACTGAAAAGTCCTGTTTCTGGATGGATTGAAGTATTCAACGGATACTAATAACAGGTCACCGGCATTAACAGCTATAATTTAAAACGAAATTTTGTAAAAACAAGAGTTTTTAGATATGCTAGAATGCCATTTCTCCTAAAACTGATTTTACAATTTTCCTACTTAAACTAAAATGTGCACTATAATATTCTCATCGTGCTGAACTTTAGTGTGTATATTAAATGTCTGGAATTTTTAAAGTTTAAATGTACTATATTTAAGTTAAAACTAGCATGGAATTTTAGATTTAAAAAATTTAACACAGACCATCTTGTGGCAATGTTACTTGGCTTTCTTGCTGCCTATGGTTTGACATTTTGGTAATGTCATTTCTGAAATTTATCAGAGTACTAAAAGCGTAAATACATTAGATCTTTAAACTGATTAAATGTGCATCTCAATTACGCGTGACAAGACCGAATTGTATCTAATGCAATCAATCCTTGCTTTCACTTTAGTTCACATTCTAGATATGTTAGCATAAACTATTTTGAAATAAATTCTGGTCAATAAAATAAGTTAGAGCATTCTTTTCTTGCCAGCGAATAATTTTTATAAAAGTTTGGCCACTACTTTTACCCTGATTTTTCAGCAATCCCGTATAAATACTTTAATTGATAAGTTAATGTAAACTAACTTTAAGGAGCAAACTGTGAGCTTTTATAGCTGTATTGTATATAATGCATATACAATACAGCTGTATTAGTTACGCATTAATACGCATTAGTTATGTATTAATACGCATATACAATACAGCTGTACAGCTGTATTAAACTAGCTGTATTATTACAGCTAGCTGTATCTTGAAAATTAACACATTAAGACAGCATTACAAAATTTTCTGTAATGCTGTCTTAATGTGCTAATTTTCAAGACTGTAATGAAACTGATATGCAATAAAATTTTGTTTTAATTGATAAGAGTTCTTGGTTAATTTTTGCCCTTTAATATTTTAAAAGTGTGCAAAAAGCTTCTTTAAATGGCATAAAATGTAAAGTATTCGCCTTTTTAAAGACAATTTACATAATGTACATTAACTTCGTTAATCTCAAAATACAAGTTTTAATATAACCAGACGAACACACTCAAGACCTTTTCCAGCATAAATGTGCAATTTGTATGCATACGTGTCTTTTTATGGAAACACAATTTATGAATATATTAAAATTTTTAACTCCAATATTTTCTTCTCGAGCACTAATACGGTTGAACTAACTCTAGTCTGGCATTTGGTAGCGTTATTTGCGTAATTGCTATAGTATATTTGGTAGAGCGTAATTGCTATAGTTTTCGAAAATTGCACTTGATTTGTTGAAATATTTTTAAATCTTAAGTCTGATTACTTTCAAACTTTTATTATGAACTTTTATATACTTTTTTTACAAACTTTTATATGAAAGATATTTTTTAATACCTTACAATTTTATCAATAAATCGTATTGTTAAGTGTAATATAAAGTTTTGATATACCTATATAATTTAACTACGATTTAATACTTAATTTTTAATGCTGAGATGGTTTTTAATTTCTGATGGTTTTGAAATTTTTTATGGTTTTGAAAAATTGAGAGGATAAACAAAAGAAGATACACGAAACTATTATACAAGAGTTTGGATTGAAGAGGGTCTATACGTTAGTAGAGAAATTTAGAAAGTTAATTACGGTACTCTTGTGCTGGCTTTTACTAAGTCGATATCATTGTACTTCTATAATATAAGTTTGAAATCTCCTTAAGGACTATACTTGTTAATCATTGAAATGTTGGGTTGCTTTGTTTTCTAATAAATTTGCCAACCTTTGTAGATACAAGGGCAAATGAGTAGAAAAGCTTGAAGTGCAAACAAGCTTTTTAACTTTCACAGAATGTAAGGTGAAAAAAATTGTTACATAAAATATGCCAAAATATGCGTGATTATAATTAGTGTTCGAAAAAAACTTTTTTTAAGCAATCTTTAAAGTGCATTGACATCTCTTTTGCTCACTATGGTTATAGTGGTATACTAACAATAGTAATGATAAATGAGTAAAAATGAAGTTAAAGGTGTTTATAGAAAATTAGAAATTGATAATGCAGGTAGGATTCAAATAAAAATCGAGGACAAGAAACGGATAAGCCGAAATTTTCTTTCAATTTTTTAATGCTTATTTGACAAATTTAATGTTTTAATTAGTGCAAAAATCGGGCACAAATGTAACATCAGCCTTTTTTCTGAATGGTATAAAGTACAGGCTGCAGATTTTCATTTAAAGATGTTTAAAACAAATTAATAAAATAATGCTGAGACTATTTTTCAAAACATCTCTAAACTTATTTCTAACTATAATTAGTATAAAGCTAAACTGAGAAAGTACTGCACATAACAAAAAAAACTTTTTTTCTTGTTAGTTAATTAAACGGTATAAGGCATTCAACTTTTTAATATTAATTATTGACTTTAGATGACAGTTTTTATGTACAATTTTTAAATACCTTTGCAACTTCTACTGATCTGTTAGATTAAGCTGAAATTTTACGTGTGTAATATTTATCGGGCTGCGTTGGGGGTCTATAAAGAAAATGCTGCAGATTTATTCCATAAATTCTGCTATCAGGCTAAGAATAGGAAGAACTGAGTATAGAAGAATTTTTAGAGAATGTTTTTGAAAAATGCATAAACCGTAAGAAAAAAAGATTAAGATGCTTCGCAAAAACTAAATATTAAATACTGAAATAAAATTTACCCCCATAAAACCGAAAGCGGATAAGAGTTTTCTTATTTGTCTAAATATCGGGAATAAATATTTCTCAGTCAATCATGACGCATGCCTTAATCTTTCATTAAATTTATTTGAAAACACGCTTCAACAATATTGTCAACATTTTATTTTTTTACTAAGTGCTAAGTAAAACTTCATGTATGTAGTCAAAATACAGGAATCAGGTTGTTTTCAGTTTTGAAGAAACTTGAAAAAAAGTAAACAGTATAATTTTGCAAAAAAATGCAAATCTGGAAAAAAAAAAGTTTTGCAAAAAGACAGAAACAAACTGCTAATGTAATAGGAAAACTAGCACTATCTAGTTGATTAGAAAACAACCATAAGGCACATTAAAAGAATCAATCTCTGTACACCTATCACTTTTCTTGGATAGGTAAATCTGGCTTGAAAACGGCTACACCAGGAGATGGCTATAATCGAAGTGCACAAATTACAATAAAATTCTGACTCCCATTAGCTTGTAATCGAGGGCCATAAGTAAAGTTGGTCTATTTTTAAAGCGTTATAAAACCTCTCCCGCTGAGTTTTATTTCGGTTCATAATCTTTGCAAAGGCATTACATGTTGTAGTCTAGCTTGTAGCAAGTGCCTTAATATTCACTCAGATTTCAACTTTTGCCCCATTTGTGCAACAAACTGCAGTTATAAAGAGAATAAGACTGCGGCAGCTTGCAGTTAACAATGACACAATTCAGAGGAACAACGAGTTTCTATTTTTGAGTAGGAATTTGAATATTGAGTCGTTCTTGGGTTGTGTCGCGTGTTTTAATGCAACAGGCCGTTTTTCTTGCTTCATAATCTCAAAGCCAACATTTCCATAACCACTAAGCCTTCAAACGCTTTGAAGGAGAAAACTGTGTGCTTTATCTACGAAATCGGGCTTATGCAATGGATGTGAAAATTATGACCTGTGTATTAAATGGTGAGTGGTGCACGTTAAATCCATCGGGGTCACATAGTCCTCCGAGTTCTCATAACAAATCAATACCTCTGGGGTATCGTTCCGTGGTTCAGATCAAAATTACGATCTGTGGATGAATGAATGGAGGATGATTGGATCCTCCCTGTAAAACGAACTGTGGTGAGTGTGTGGTTGAAGTCTTATTCTTGGCCATAGATGGCGCCACTAAAACAAGAAACGCAGCATCTGCCTCAAAAATTTGCTTGATTTCAAGCAAGCTTGCTGATTGGCAAGTGGGATAAATAACAACATAAAAATTTTGACAAAAGTGTAGGTATGTCAGTGAGTTAGCTGAGGTTATTAAATCTATATGCTATTCCATGCTCTAACCTATATTATACTTATACTTTCATTCATTAAAAATACACAATTTTTATTCAGACAGTCGTTTTTAATGAAGATAATCTCGTATCGTTACTACTACTATGTCGACATTAATGTGTACGATGCTATAAGGCAAAACTGAAGAAAAAAAATGCCCTAGCATTTCAGTCTGTTGCTCTCAAAAGTTAAGCTCACGTCAGAAACCGTCACAAACTTATATTATTCTTTTTTGAGATGCCCTAAGTGAAATTACCTTTCCAGCTTTCAGAAAATTATTAAAAGCACGGCGCTTTTTCGTTTTTAATTGACTGGGCTGAGAAATATATGACATAAAAAATAATTATAGCTAAACTCAAGCAGTAGTTTGTTACACAAGATTCCAGCGAAATAAAGTATAGAGTATAGCAATGAAAAGCAAATTCAATGGAATAAAGGGCACTGCAAGAAAATTTTGGCGTATAGTAGTCACCATTTTCAATATTGGGATAAACTAGAGTTATTTTTAAGTACAGAACTGCAGTTATAGTACAAAAAATTATATCAATTTGACAACATAAAAAATGTTTGAAAGAATTAATGCAAATATTTTACTAAAAATGCGCTTTTTCTTCCTTATCAAGATAATTTTGCAACTAAGCCATTGAATTGATTCTAATGTGAAAAAAATGTGTTATCAGTAAACAAATAAAAAATTAATCAATAAAGCTATAACATTGAAAAAGTAAATAAAAATGTGACTACATGCACTGTAAAGAAAATGTTAGTTTACCTCAACACCAAAAGTGGGGGCAAATATGCACCAAAATTTGTACAGTGCAACAGATTAGGAAATGAACTTGAATTATTGTAAAAAAAATGTTTGATATGTAAATTGAGAAAGATAAAAACATAGGATTTTTAAATAAAATAAAACATATTTAACAAAACTTCTTACCAAATGAAAACTGTAAGGTGATTTTATCAGTCATTAAATTAACTGGTCGTTTGAATCTGATTGCAAAATAAAATGTTTCCCCCCTCCGGTATATAGGCGACACATCTTTTCCATCCAACAAATCATAATTTTCTGTATGATGAACTTTTGCATTCTCTTTGCAGTAGAATTCAATCAAATCAACTTCATTGGGTAGGGGTAGTCCTCGATCAACTAGAGAAAGAAAAAACAATATAAATTCATAAGTTGAATTATAGGGAAAGCCCTTTAAATCAAGCGTATACTCAAAATATCTTGGAAATTAAAATTAAAAAAACAATTATTTAATTAACTATTTGAAATTTCGGTGCATGTTTAACCGTAATATCGTTCAAAGTTTCCTGAAATTTAATTCATTAATTATCATACTCCTTAAAATCAACATATTAAACCCTTAATAATAGTTATCAAACCAATAGCAATTAATTAATTACATTGAATGTTAAAAAACTATCATACTCCTTAAAAAAAGATTACTCGATACTATAGTTTAACTTAAGTGAAGACATAGTTCAATTTAATAATTAAGTTGAAGGAAAAATACCATCATACTCCTTAAAAACGATTACCTGATACTATGGTTTAGCTGTACTTTTTCTTAAAAAGTTTTTTATTTCTTTTATTGGGTATTTGTCATTCAATTGAAGCTAAACCTTCGATTTTAAAAAAGAATTCACTGAAATTGTTTATCGTTCAAAGTCTTGAAATCTCAAAAAACATTCGTTAACGTAGAATTTTCGTTAAACATATTTCTAATTTTTTCTCTCATTATTTTGAACTAATTTAGGCTAAAGTAAATGAAAAGTATTATATTTAGCATTTTAATAATTTATGGTTATGAAATACAGCACGATGCACCAGTTTGTTTTTCTGCATTTAAGATGAAATTTTCCAAACACGGCTTACTTCAAAACACTAATTTTTCAAATTTGCACTTATTTTGAAGTTATTTAGATGTAAGAAGAACAGTTATTCATCATTGAAATTTCTTTAATTTACAAAATCAATTATTGAAAAATTTTTGAGTATGAATGAAAAAAAAATTTCAAGCAACTTTTTTTCGATATTATATTTTGGCACAAATATAATTCCTACAGTCAAACATACTTTTGTTTCAACTATTAGATAGTTTTTCATAATTAAAAAATACCAAAATATATTTTTATTTGCAATTAGATCGTATGAAAAAATATATAAAGGGTACACTGGTGTCAAATCTGCGTCAAAGGGTAAATGTTTTAAATTACCAAAACCGACATCAAAAAAGTAAAAATGAANAAAAAAAAAAAAAAAAAAAAAAAAAAAAAAAAAAAAAAAAAAAAAATGCGAATTCAGAAGAAGAAATGAAGGAATAAAAAGCTTTTTACCTGAACATGTTACATAAATATCTCGTTCTCTGAAATCTTAAAAGTAAAAGCTGGTAAAGTTCTCTAAGAGCTTAAATTCTTCATTAAATAAGAATTATATACATAAATTTTCAACCTTTAGTAAAGTAAAAGTTTTCTTTCAGTATTTACGAAATCAATCCTCCCTTATATTTTCTGAAGTGATTGTTTTTTATTTAAAAATTCCATGATAAACTGCTTTTGTTCTAATTTTCGATAAGGATTCTAAAAACACATATTAAGAGTGGTTTCTACGGAACACCCTGTATAATTGAAACTAGGTAGATATTAATTCCCGTATAAATCTAGGCAGTCAGTACCAAATAATGTTTTTAAGCAAGTTCTAAACTAGGGATGGACAAATGACCACGAATTAGGAAAAATATATTTATATGTTATATTTACGATAGATTATATCATATCTGAGTCCAGTATTTTGCAAGAATGAAAGAATTAAGAGCATTCTACCCTTGATAGAAATAGAGAAAACAGTATAATAAAATAAGAAAAACGCAATTATTTGATGAACTATTTGAAATTTCGGTGCTTAATAAACCATTATATCGTTCACGCTTTCTGAAATTTAATACGGCGCTGCGTTAAAAAAATTATCATACTCCTTAAAAACGATTACTTGATACTATGGTTTAACTTTAGTGAAAACATTGTTCAATTTAATAATTTTTAAGTTGAATGAAAATGGGATCTTATAATGGTTCAAGCTACTTACATTATAGTTTAATGTTTAACCCACTTTTTTTTTTAGAATAGAGAGATTTTTCATAGCGTTACGGTTTTTCATAACTCTAACGCTAATGATATTTTAGTTTCACAATGCATGAGCAAAAATTTCCTGGCAAATCACAGAAACGCTTAATCACGCAAAATAAGGTTGGCGTTACAATTAAAGTAAGACGACTGCTATGCAAAATCTCTCTAATGTGCTTTTAACGTTCTCAACAAATCACTCAGAATATAGCTTACAAGATTACTCAGTGCACTGCTTACACTTAAATAGAATGCAAATTATTAAACATTGAGGTCAGAGTTCCAGCTAGAAATAATTGAGTTAACTAAATAACAATAAGCAATTCCGAGTAGTAGTTTCTAAATGATTTAAAAAAATTTTCAGAAATTATTATCAAAAGTAAATTTCTCTAATTTAATATTTTACGCCCAGAAAATTCGTGCTTTGTTTTCTTCATCTTACTTATATAGACGTCTTCTACCATTAAAAATAGGCTAATGGTATTGATAATATGGCTGTTTTTAAATAAATTAGGTAAGTAATGTTAACGTACCTTCATCTATTGAACGAAACTCTCTTCGACGTCTTAAAGCATCTCTTCTGAACCTTTCTAAAACGTCACTCAAATAATCTACATCATCTTCCACGGGGACAACTACTACTCTTCTTCTGCCGAAGCCCTCGATGTGTCGAGTTGGACTTCGTGGACGATACATTGTTCTATTTTAACTGTCAAATTACAAAAAATATAACTTAAAATGAAATATCATTGTATTAAAATATGCTTTTTTAACATGTTACATACAGTGAAACTTGTCAAAACCACTCTTATAAATTGACCACCTAAGTTGATCCCTTTTTCCAAGAACCGAATTTATTCCACGTACTGAAAGAAAGTTAAACCTTTGTAACGTGATCATCTGTCTATCTTGAATGTTGACTTCCGAAATAAGGTAAATAGGGAAAATCTTTATTTATTAGATATCCTTTCTCAGAGGACCAATGGAAATTGAATAAAAAGGAAGGAAAAAATATATGAGAGTGAAACTTTGATGGAAATAGGGTTGAAATAGGATAGGATAGAAAATATGGGATAGAAAATAGGGTGGAAATAGGATAGAAATAGGATAGGGATAGAAATAGGCTAACCCCTCATAAAGACAAGAAATGCGTGTTTCACATTGTGCCACCTGGAAATCACTATAATTATAATAATTTTCTTTGTATTATGCAGCACAAAATATTTTATTTGACAAAACATCGAATTTATTCATAAAGATTCAAAATGCGTAACATATTAATTAAATTTCAGTACCTCAAAATCTATTAAAAATTTGATATCAAAATTTCGTGTAACACTTGGAACCACTTTTTTTACAATCAATCGTTATGCTTTGAAGGCTTCTGAGATTTGGTACTACTTGATGAATGCAGACAATAATTTAAGTTACAAAATCAAAGTCAAAAAGCGAGTTCAGACGCATTTTTTAGTGAACATGCATTTTTTTCAATGGATTTGAATTTTTAATTTGCAGTCTTAAAGATATAGTTCTAATAACTAAGTCCAGTGATTGGCTGAAAGTAGTGTTATCCAAATTTTTTTTTCGAGACTAATTTCACTCATTTATTAATTTTCTAGGAGAGAAAAGTAGAGTAGATTTCATTAAAGAGACTGTTGTTAATTACAAAATATTATAATTTTACTGCTTAGATATTTAACGAAGAAACATTTATCCTCATAATTTTCCTTTTTTTTTCAATATTTATATTTTAATTATATTAAGGTTTCTCATAAAAAAATATTAAGGAAATTTATGAATTTTTTTTTTGTTTTCACTGCTTAACAGTACGTTCGTTAGCAATAAATTTACTAGGAGTATTTCTGCTTTCGGTGACATTTATGAGGAGAAAAATTTAAATTCGATGTGTGAAATAGGCGTATGGTCCGCTCAAAATTATTTTTACTTTTCGCCTAAATCTCTATTCCTCTATAAATAATAGTGTGAATCAAGAAAATTTTCATATCCATATTTAATACTTGTTTACCTAAATGTACTTTCAGGTAAAACAATTTAATAAATATTTTTGATTTTAAATTTCATAATCATTAATTCATATTTTTGATTTTAAGGTACATATTTTTTATATCCCTTTTAAAATAGATAATTTTAAGGAACAAAATCTGAATTTATATTAAACTAGTTAAATAATTCTTGTGATGTTAAAAAAAATATGTACAAGACTTCTTTAAATTTTAATATCTCAAAAACTATTCAACCGATTTCACACAAATTCTGAATTTTCTCAATTAAGGGAAAAGAGCCACTGGCTTTGAAATTGTGGAGCGAAGCCATAATTGACATACATACATGATGACTGTTATAGGAGTGCTTTAACTTTATAAAATAAGAAGTGCTGAAAAAGTTTGATTTTTATAAATGCATATTTATTAAATACTCATGCGTATTGAAAATCTCTACCAGAATTGAAGAACAAAGCAAAACAAAAAAGAACTTACAATTCCTTTTTGAACTAGTCACTGTAATGATCTAGAATAAAGAGCAACATGGAGAAAAAAATGAATATAAATGCCATAAAGAGGTAAAAATACAACCTTTTTAAAAATCGGTAGAATAGCTCCTGAGTAATCAGATTTTAAAAATATGACTTTTTAAAATTCGATATATCAAAAATTATTCCACCGATTTTACTCAAATTTTGTTATTTGATATGTAAAATTACATTCTTTAAAATGTCAAAAATTTAATGCCTTACAGTACATTTTTTCTTATTATTATTAAATAAAATAATAAAAACTAATAAATATTTACTAAAAATATTTTTTGAGTGGAATTATTGCTGGATAAAAAAGCGAATTTTATAATTCTGTACAAGAAGTTTTCAATGTTTTCGAGACATAGGGAGATGCTCAAAATGTAAAATTAAGGGAGCAAACTCCTGACTACTCTCCTGAGAAAACCAATCGGGACCACATTTTCCAGATTGCGGCTACCCGCTATATTTTGGGAGTCAGAAATCCAATTCCGTAAACAGCAAAAAAAGCTTCTTTATTTGGAGAAAGAACGTTTTTGTATCTGATTTTTTTCAAACTTAAAATATCGTCAGCACTTATTAGTTAGCATATTTGAAGTTACCTCCTCGAACCATTAAGATTGAGTTTTGGAACGTGAAGATCCGATCATTAAATCTGAAGTTATTCTGGGTGGTTCATTTTATTTATTATTATTAATAATAATTTTTTGCGTGCTGTACAACATATGGAGCATAAATCAATGATTCTTGCTTTATATTGTATTGTAAAAATAACTTTACTGACTTTTATGTGTATCTTATCTTACTGTAATTATAAATTTTAGTGTTACTAAATAATAAAAATGGTGGCGGCAACTTTACACCAAGTAGTATAAAAGAACATTCTTGGTGTAGATCCAATAGTTATGTATAGGGCTTCACTGTACCACTTTGTATAGTATTTGCCACAATTTTTTGTATTGAGGTACATTTTATTTTTATAATTTTATAACCGTAGTTGAACAGTCAACCCAATTTTGGGCTTACGACAACTAATGTTCAACTCCGTAGCCTTGTAATTTTGAACCCAATCCAGAAGACAAGGGAGCACCTGGAAAACCTCCCACGGTTAGCGTGACGGCAAGGGGACTTTAACCTATCAACACTTTTACACTTTACGTTAACACTGTGGTCGGTGCAACCTGGGTGCGGAATTCGCATCGACCAGCCAAGTATAGGATTGTATAGCTCTGAAACAAATTATTAAATTATGAGAAATGTAATGAGAGTATTCAAATTCAGCTAGTAGTGTTTTAAATGTAGCTTTTTTTCTTGTTTCCTTTTATGCATAAATTTCTCTCTCTTTATTTTATAAACTCAGTTGAGCGGGGAAATCTTTTTTTTAGCATTAAATGGAGTCTGACTATTGGAATTTTATTGAATGTATAAATCATCCAAAACGTTTTTCTATATTTGTCAAATTCTGCAGCAGTTAATTAGAACATGATAAATAAATGGTTAGTTTCTGTCAATTCAATTTTTTATTTTATAATAATTATTGTGAAGAAACTTGACTGTACTTACTGTGGATATTCAGAAATAATAATAATAAAAAAGAGAGATACTATACGTCATAGTACAGTAATAATACAGTCAAAATTTTAATAAAATATGTTTTAGAGTATTTTTTATTATACGAAAAAATTGAAGTTGACTGCAAACCATCATTATGGTTAGTTGTCGAAGTTTTTCATCAACTGAATGGGATTGTTTTAATTGCTTTATATGTAAACAACTCAACAATTTGAAATTTTTTTAAACATTTTGAATTTTTGAAGTGATTTGAAAGTTTTGAATGTCTATAAAATCATCCGTGAGGATGAAATAAATTTTTTTTTCTGTTTAACTGTTTAATAATTAGTTTTCATTGTAAAAGTTATAATACCACATTTAGCGTAATATCTAAAAATGTAAGGGCTTAATGTTTGCAAAAAAGAGGTAAAATTATTAACTATTATTTCTTTAAGAACAATTTACAAATATATTAGGATCATTGAAAATTATTTTAAAAAACTGTATGTAATAAAATTAAATGAATCTGGTTTACTGAATTGTATTTACCTAAATGTAAATTTAAGTGCGAAACTTTTGCTTTAAATCATATTTAAATTGATCAAAAATGTTTAACATACCAGCTCAGACTAATAAAAATTTCCGTACATGCTTATAAATAAAAGACCCAATGTATTTTTTTCTTTTCATTTTCACCAAAGGCGCATTTTTCCTCTTTATTATATAAATTAAAACTATTTTCATGTTTTTTTCTGATCAAATTTCTCAAAATCTAAAATTCTAAATCTAGAATTTACTTATTTTGACACTGCTGTGTTTTATAAAAGTTTTAATAACATTACTAACATTACGTTTTTAATATTATTACTACTTACTATTTCTTATCATATGTTGTTTTAAATTTCTTTTAATGTTTCATTTGAACTATTTTAAATCAATTGAATTAAATAATTTTCTAAAATCTCTATTGACGGTATAATTAATCTCTAAAAATCAATCTCTTGGAGATTAATTTAATTTGACTAGGTATTTGAAATTGTTATTAATTGTACATTGATTCTTCATTAACAGTATTAATAATATTTTTCTGCATATATTAAATTCTTTATAAGCAAAATAACTAAATATATAGAGCAACAAGTGATTTATATCGATTTAATCCAGTTACGTAAAAAAGTGCAAACTTTAATCGATTGAAGACAGTATGAAACTGAATCAATTAACTTGAAACGGAAAAATACCGCACAAATACGCATTTTACGAATTACTAATTTATTTACGATAGCTCTTTTTCTATCCATCTCTTTCAGATCTATCAAGAAAGATAATATATTTCAACTATATCTCATTTTTTAATTGACAGAATACTTCATGTCCCTTTTATTTCACAAATTACTGCGTTATGTTAATAAAGAAGCAACATATAATGTCGGTTGAACAAATTAATCAAATTTAGGTTGTGTCTCTATTATTTATTATAGGTAAAAAATAAATTCTCTTAGAAATATGCTAGTCTAATGCATTTTACACCTGAAAACAAGTTAAAAATAATCATAATTAAAGATTTACAAATTTGTTATTGCATTTCGTGATAAAAAATTGATAACTATATACACACTAAATAC